TAACTGAGATATTCCGTAGGCAATACTTCCGTAGCCACCCGGTATATGAAAAATCAGACGATATTGAAACGAAGACAGCAAACAGCGGTTCAGATCCAATGCTCAATGCTCAATCCCATGACGAATCAGAAGTAGAGTAGTATAGGCATATATTCTTCGTGAACTGCAGGAGGCAGAAGTAGGTATACTTATGAATACAAATTCTTGTAAATGAGGTATAAGTGTAGACCTGGAAGTCAGACTGTATGAAATTAGGATGCAGTATCCCCTACAACACATATTCAGGATAGTGAAGACATCATATGGAGTCTCCGCTAGAAAGGGAAAATATCGATGTTTTACTTTTTAAGGAAAAATTTGCCTTATTTCACTATTATATCACTTCATTTAGTTGTGTCATAAACAACTATGAGTCACCTTGATATATTTTCTCCTAATTATCTGAAATTTTGTCAGTTGTCGGAAGAAAAAGTAGCACGTTCGTGTCTCATAAATAATTCTATAATATTGTGACATTCAGTTCTGAAAATACGTATTTTGATGGTGCCAAATGATAATCTGCTAGCTCTGAGGAAAAAATGTGTACCCATACGAATGGATAGGTGGGCTGCATACGGTTATTTTCGGCAAGTTTAGAAGGTAGGAGACGTGAACTGTATAGAAGTCGAAGCAAAAACTTTAATCGTTCGAAACGGGCGAGTTTGCCAAAACATGAGCTACCGAGCAAAAATCACATTATTCAATTTCATAGAGGTCCACAAGGTTATGTTAAATATTCCCAGTTATATCTCGAAATTTTATAATTCCGATTTTATTATTTTATTTCAGGTGAGTTAAAACTCAGAATTTTGCATGTAAAATTCCGAGATTTTACAATTTCGAATTATAACAAAAATTTTTGAAGAGTTTATATATTATTTTATTTCAGGTGTCCTCTCTTTAGCACGTTATTTTCAACCCTCCTCAGTTCTTCTGGTGGTATCTCTCTGCCAACTGTTATTATTCCTCGTCGCAACTCTTCCCTATATTTCTTTGCCTGGATTTCCCACTCTGTAGTCAGATTATTTGATCCTGACTACCATCATGTCTGATATTATTCAAATTCTCAAAAGAATCGACATGAAAAATGCAATTATTCAAAAATTGCAAAGTTGATAAAAAACACCTCTTATGAGATATTGTTCTGAAAATTGTTATAGAAGTATTTGTGTCTATTCCGAATCGATAGTCATTATTAACAATTATCTGGCATTTCAAAGCACACTCTTCATCAATGAAATAACATTTGAAATACCCTTCCGAGACTTTGAACTGTTCAATCGCGCTTTTCTCGAAAACGGATGAAAATATCGTGTTCAAATAGGAGTACCAATATTACATAAAATTCATGTTTTTCCTCGACCTATACAAAAAACACATTTTACGGTCTAATTTCCGAACGAAGAACCGACTATTCCCAAAGGCAAGTGCTTTTCGTCCGCTGCAGGGTTGCCGGGTCTACTAAATTTTCAGTAGATCTCCTGATTTGCATATTGATATACTGATCTACTGGAACATTTCATGACCTACTGAAAAATATGTTGACATTTATTTATTATTATGATAACCTATATTATTATTGATCTTTAGTTAATCACATAAACTTATAAATTGCATGATATTTCGGAACGCTCTGTTTAAACCAATTTTACAAAATAAGTGATAAATTTGATGATGTTCACTAATGATATGTATCAAACAAAAAAGGACAATACTTTATCTGATTCAGATCAAATTCGAATTTCTATACACCTCTGTTATAACAGTTTGTTCAATTTCGTTCGTTCCTGTTTTCCATACACTCAAATCTTCTAAGTACCTATGTTACTGTATTTTGTGATATTTTTTGTGAGTATTTTGAAATTGAGAATTAGGAATTTGATTATTTTCTTGGGAGGATATTAGTTTTGTTTGTTTCTATTTGATTGGGAAAAGGTTACAGCAATCTGGAGATGCATTTTTCCACCTTTTGGTAATATTCTAGTTCCTAGTTTTTGATCTCAATAGAAGGAACAATAAGTCATCAAGTGTCTGTGGATAAGGTTAGGAATTTGATTATTTTCTTGGGAGAATATTAGTTTTGTTTGTTTCTATTTGATTGGGAAAAGGTTACTTCTCTGTTTACTAAAAGTGCATAATGTTTTGACGTCATAGGTTTATTTCATTATCTTTTCTTGGAATTCGTATTGCATAAAATAGATCTGAATTTCAGTTGATGTATTAACTGATGAAATGAAAATCGAACTGGCAACAAAATCACAAACAATCAGCAGAGTATATGAATTGATAATGACTTGAAATGAATTTACATTATAGCAAAATAGAGTTTCCTTAGATGTTTAATTTATTATTTCTAACCCCACACATTAATAGATCTGGTCAGAACTTTATTCAACCGATAGAGCTCCTGAAGCACGAAGGCTCAAACAAAGGATCGAATGTTTTTTTCTATCTCTTGGAACGCACGAAAAAGAATCCTTATAATTTTCGAATAATATCGTGCAGGATTAGGTACAATGATAGTGCTTTCAAATTTGATGACGTGACATTTCCTTTTGAAAAAAATGAGTTTCTAGTATAAAGAACTTTTTTGGTACATAATACCTATTTCGAGCCACAACACATTTTCAATCGAATATGGAATTTGCGATAATGTAACATAAATAGGGTTTTCTGACCAATGAAATGTTAATTATGAGGTATCATTGGAAAGTGCCGTTAAGTGAACAAGTGAACATATATGTTCTGAATTTCAGAAGAATAGCTAGAGGAACAATGAGTCTGTGTCACACGGTATATCTTCCAAAATAGAAACTAATTCACTCTTGATGATGGAAAACACGATTATAATAAAAAAAATTGAAAAGACATACATTTTCAATCAGTATGATTGATGTTGAGCTATCAATCTCCAAAATGAATGGGTCCCAGACTGTTCAATAATCTTGATATTCAGTCTCAAATGACTCAAATCTCCTTGTCACAAGTATTTTTATTGCATTGCATTTTATGAATTGTATGTTATAATAATAATAATAAATTGCCTTCATTGTTTTTGTAATGTACATATTACAATACAAGTAAAATGTTGAGAGGCGAAGTCTAGCTCACGCTATTCTAACTTAACCTCTATCTCACAATGAAAAGGGACAATGGATTTCTTAAACATTTAAAGTGACTGAATCACATATGTCGATACTTGATTTCATCAATATATTTCGAATTTATATGCATTTGCATGCCTGTATATATATATATATATACACAGGCGTCCGCTTCCCCCCCCCCCTGATCTCATAAAGCCATAACAAATAGATAAATTCATATAACATATAGCAACCAATCCAGATGAGCTAATGACCATACTGGAAACTTAGAACCTGTTCTTCTACTAATTCATGCTTGTAATGATGTTTCAAGTAGCTCAATGATTGTGTTTTGTAACCATCAGAGTTATATAAATTAGCAGAATTAAATGAAAAGCTTTTGTGAAATCCAGACAGACGAAATCTAGGCAGCGATAGAGTAAATGCATTGCGAATATTTCGGTCGTGCATGTTAGCTCTGAATACCAACTTATCTTTCAGATATGGTGGCGTAGATGTTGACAATATTCGAAAAACCATAGCACTCATATGGTATTTGAATAAATTATCAATTCTCCCAGCGAGCACAAACATCCCTGGGATGTTTTGGGATGTTTTGAAAATGTTGGCATGAAGATGTTATTTTGAGACGTAATATGCACTGACCAAAGAGGTCTTTGAAGGATATTGAAGTATTGTTTTTGTTCTTCTGTGGCATTTCTTTGTTTGCCCCACCACAACGTCTCATGCTTATGTCCCAATACGATGAATTCTGATTTGTTTTCGATTTTGTTCTTCTTGTTCGCAATTGGCATTCGCGTCGCGTTTGCAGCGTGTCACGCTTACATCACGCTGCTAACGAACAGGAAGGAATTTGGTGAAGTTTATTGTGTTAGAAGACTTATTTAGTTTGTAATAATGACCATCAGATGCAGGATGTGTTGTTCGATGCCTTAGTGTAATCAATATATAAAAGTACGAATTCATCAATACACAGCTTCTCCGCAGTTGCAAAATTATGCATTGTGGAGAACATTTCAAAAATTGGGAAACCTATTTCCAATTAAATGTCTGTGTGTAGTAAGCACTACTCAGAAACCGATTAGGAAGTTAATTTCATATCAAGAAAATATTTTTATGTTCAATCTATTTTTAATGCATTTTTTCATTCAAGGGAAATGGAATCCTAATGCAAAAGTTCTTTTTGACAAAAGGCTTCAGAAAAGTACCTCGAAAATGGTTTTTTAACAGCGATTTAATGTGCGCAAGACGCGTTGAAAATGTTTTGTTGTGTCCATGAAAAGGCTTTGAAAAAAACTAGGGAGAAGGTAGTTTTGTGACATATCAAGGACATCTCGATAATTGCCGCCTGCGGCGGACATTGGCTGTTCTATAATAGTTCTATTCATGTGTGAACAGAACATCGCAGTGGAGGTTCAATGTCTCGAAATCTCGTACTTTTAACATCTCTGAGATGTTTTTGTGCTCGCTGGGCTAAACCAACCTAGTTCGTCTATTTTCGTCGACACTCTTATCATATTTTCGAAGATTAAAAACAAATCTACAACAGTAATTTTGGATCTTCTGTAACCTCTGTTTAGTATAACTTGATGTAGACAGAGAAAGTATAATATTAAGCCACAATTCATTCAAATACTTCTATTCATGCTGGTTCTAGTGTTTCGAGGTTAGTGTATGTTTGTTGGTGACTATTTTTAACGCAATTTACAATTTGTCAATTGAGGAAAAATAAAGCTGAACAGAACGTTTAAACTAAACACAGTAAACACAGTAGGTCATCTCTCAACAATGATTTGTCGAGGTAAAATAGTTTCGCATCACAGATAAAAATAAAGTTTCAAACGTCTCACCTACCTTTTCTAACGGACTCGATTGCTTCAACCACGAGCTTCTGATTCACGCCGCACAGGTTGGCTGTCAACTTTTCACATTTTTTATGGATATTAACGTCGCAGTCTAGCATGAAAGAAGAAAAACATCAAATAATAATAGATTCGTGAGCTCTTGTAGTATTTCCCAACATTTTGCCAGCACGTGAAAAAATATTAACTCTCGTAGCACCGTTGAAAATCACTCAATATTCCTTTCATCACAACAAATATAGAAAAGCAATATTCTCAGATATATAATGAATATGAAAAAATGGATATACAGGGTGTTCCTTGGAGACATACTAATATTCAAGGGGGTGATTCTTTGACTCATTCTAAAACTTTTGAGATACAGGGCGATAAAGTTTTGAAAAAAAAATCAGTTTTTCAATAATAACTCAGATAATATTGTAGACATCTTCACAAAATTTGTTACATGTCTTCTATGCATCAAGGTGCATTTTCTGATGTACACAAATTTTCATTTCCTTCACCAGTGGCGCCGTCTGGGGGATATTATTGTTTATATTTTACTTAAAAGTGAGCAACGAAGGAAAATCTACAAATTTCATACAATTCTATGAAAAGCCATTAAATTTTGTACAAAAAAGATCCTCTTGTTGATACTCGATAAAACGCTCCGTTTTCGAGAAAAAAAAACGAAAAAACGACACCAGATTTCAAATTTTGATGTAAATGCCAAGCTGAGTACTCCATTTAGGACATCACTTACTGGATAACCACAGTATGTAACGTTTTGTACTTTTTGCACCTCTTCAGTCACATAGCAGAATGGAATTTTTCACGAAAAGCTATACAGGGTGGACAAAAAAGAATTAATGCATATTTTCAACTTTGATACCCTGTATATCTCAAAAGTTAGGACTTTCCCGACATACGTTCATATGAAGTTTTATTCTTGAAATGGGTGAAAGAATCGCCCCCTTGAATATTAGCATGTCATAAGGAACACCCTGTAAGTATATATAAATACATTGAAAATTCGCATTCTCTTTGTGATGAATACATCAACTCTTTATCGGTATATTCAACAGAAAACAACTCCTTCTCAACACCTTCATACCCAATCAAGGGGTTCGAACTTAACCTACAAACAGTATCTGAACAATGAAAGCTTGTTATTTTCATAGACCTATACTCGCAGATTCTTGATTGGGTTTTGTCAATTCAGATTTTTTTCCACGCCCTGTATGATGACTATCAATTTGTCATACATCCAAACATAATAAATATATATTGGATATTTCTTTTATTCAACTCAGAACAAGGAAGAATTCCTTTAATCCTCATATCTAAATATTCTTACACAAAAATAAATAATAACCTTGATTATGAATACTCAATGATAATAACAAGGACGGTATATTGACGTTTGTTGCGAACATCCCTTCGGCGGCATGTTATTAGCACCTGTACAGCTTACAAAATATCATGTTTGATTTTGTCAAATATGGTTCTGAACGACTGATAGTGATAGAACCATCAAAAGACATACCTAGAAGCTGGAACTTGCTGTGGAAATTACCATATTAATACCAGGCGAGCCTTGAGCACAGAGATTCACGGCTTGACTTGATATTCAAGCTACTTGACTTGACTTGACTTGAAATCAAGTCAAGTTCAAGTCAAGCGAAAGTTTTTTAATGTCAAGTCAAGTCAAGTAATTATTTATCAAGTACTTGAAAAATCAAGTAGTTCTATCAAGCTACTTGATTTTCAGCAGTTTTATTGTGTATCTATCTATACAGCGTGACTCACGGTCGATGTTATAGGTTAGACGTTTATGGAGAACGCGACGCGGGAATTTTCTGAAAATTTCGCATACACAAAAAATTCCTGAAGTTGAAAAATCTCGATTTTTCGCACTCTATATCTCCATAATCTTTTCCGCTATACCCCGAGTGTGATGTATCAATGAAATCAACTCTTCAAGGAGAATCTGAAAATGCAATAAAATACAGGGTGTTCAATTCGAAATAACAAAGTGGTTCCTACTTCTCTATAGAAGCGGCAACGTCGTGATTTTGAAAATATATTAGATCGATAGTACCGGTGATTAAATGTGAGATGCGAAATTTTCAGAAAAATCCTGCGTTGCGTTCCTATCATAAACGTGAACGTCTAACCTACCATCGACCGTGAGTCACCCTGTATATAACTGATGAAATGAAAATGACATCGTAAGACTGACTGCGCGATCGATTCAGTCAGCTCGGATCTCGGGGAACCCCCGTATTTTGTATAAGCGTGAGCGAGCTTGCAGAAATATACGCCGTGCGACTCGTGCGTATCAAGATCAAGTATTATCAAGTAGCTTGATTTCAAGTCAAGTAATAAATATCTCAAACCCAAGTCAAGTCAAGTACGTAATTTGCCACGAGCTTGATTTTCAAGTCAAGTCAAGTAGTTTGTTAAAATATCAAGCTACTTGACTTGATGAATCTCTGCTTGAGCATGCCGGGGAGCAGCGATTTCAAAGAACAAGCGATCGAGTTCAAATTTCGAAACCACGTTACCACGCCACATAGAAGAGTTGAGGATTCCAAAAGTTGATGTTCACGCTCCACCCTAATCTTCAAGATACCTTCATTTCCAAAAAAAAAGTGACGCACTTGATATTTGACATATCTTCTTAAAAAAAAATAGTAGGCCGATTTTTATTTTTTTTTAGTTGTTGATAGGCAATGCATTTGTCTTTAAAAAAAATGAAGAGGTGAAAATTTTTTCAAAGCCTCCTTGATGGTGGTGGAATAACTCGAACCATGATTTATTCTTAATTTTTGACTCACCCTGTGTGTTAATTGAGTAATGGCATAGAATGTGCTTACACCCTATACGAAAGAGGCTTCTTTTTCGAGCATTTTGTTTTTTCATTCATTGATTTATCTCTAAAATTTTCCATATTACAGCTTTTTTGCTGAATCCTTGCAGAATACCAACTTTCTGAATTTATTGAGAAACAATTTTCTAATGAAATAAACTTATACCAATAATTTTAAAAAACATTTTCATTAAACACAAAATTATCTGCTCAATACCGTGTATTGCCTCCTCTAGCAAATCTAAGAACTTCTAATCTACGAGGCATACTGGAAATTAAGTTGCTTATCGTTTCCATTGGTATACGATCCCATTCTTCCACTAATGCATCTGCCATTTCTACGAGACTTTCCAGAGACCTCTCGCGAGAACGTACCCTTCTCCCTGATTCATCCCACAAATGTTCTATAGGATTCATATCGGGGCTTCTCGCAGGCCATTGTAATGTGGTAATACCAGTAGCTTCTAAATATAAAATTATTGCCCACTAACTCTGCATAAGGTAATACATAGTGCTCTAAAATATCAATGTAAATTTGGGCATTCATCGACTGCCTCACCGGAAAAATATGAAGGAGTGTCTTTCCATTCATTGAAATCCCTCCCCACAACATAACGGACCCACCATTAAAACTTTCGCATTCTGTTATTAAATTTTGATTAAACCGTTCACCAGTTCTTCTCCACACTCTTTTTCTTCCATCCACGATGTTGAGGCAAAACCTTGACTCATCCGTAAACAAGACATTCGACCATTCAGGAATATTCCACTGTCCATAATTCTCAACAAAATTTCTTCTAGCAGCACGATGTTCGGGCAATAATTTGGGACCTTTTGCAGGTCTCCTAGCTTTTAAATTAACTTCTTTTAGACGTCTACATACCATCTGCTTACTTACTGCAACATCACGAATTTGGCGAAGATCTTGCTGAACATTTACCGCAGTATTTGATCGATTCCGTAAAATCCGCAATCTCAAGAAGCGATCATCTCTTGGAGAAAATGCTCGCAAAAAAAGCCTCTTTCGTATAGGGTGTAAGCACTTTGTACACCATTACCCAATGAACACACAGGGTGAGTCAAAAATTAAGAATAAATCATGGTTCGAGTTATTCCATCACCATCAAGGAGTCTTTGAAAAAATTTTCACCTCTTCATTTTTTTTTAAGACAAATACATTACCTACCAACAAATAAAAAAAATCGGCCTATTATTTTTTTTTAAGAAGATAGGTCACATATTATGTGCGTCAATTTTTATGGAACTGAGTATATATTTTCTCATTGTTATTCAGATGGCTTCGAAGCATTTCAGCTTCTTGGGTTTCCACATAAAAAAAAATTTCGAAAACCGTTCAGTTGATGAAATTGGAGACAACATTGTACCAGACAATGTCAACAAATCGATAAAAATATTCTGTTACATGTCGAGAGCATATGAAACGGCAGATCAATTTATGATCGAATATTGCATGCCAACTTTTCAAACATCTGCTGCAATAACATCAATGAAACTGTGAATCCATGTCTCTCTGTGTCCAATAAATATTTCAATAAAATCATTTCACACCCCTGTGATGATCACAGCAGAATTAGAAGTATTGAAGATACATTATTCATATATAAGACTAGTGTCGATAATTTTTGAAGCCGAAAAAGATTAAAATTGAATGGAAATCATCGAAAAAGGAACAGAATAGAACGAAAATTGAAGGAAATATAAATTACCGTCAATCTGAGGTCGGGAAGTGGAAGGGTGAGCTTTTAACGGTAAAAAACAGTTAATCTCGATTTCTGGCAAAACTACAAGTCCTATGGAAAAAAGATGAATAGCAAAATTGTAGGTAATAAATATATACAGTATGATGCAAATGTATGGAATAAATTCATTATTTCAGAAATGGGCGACATTTGAAGAAATTCCAAAAACACGTGAGTTTTAATTTTTGAAACCTCATCTCATGACATTCATATGAGAGATGTTACGTCACCGGTGTTGGAGTAATGACGTAATGAACGGTTTTTTTAAACACAAACAGGGGTCATGTGACACCTCGTTTGAAAGGTCTACTGATCGTCTATCCAATAGTCAAAATTTTGCCAAAGAAGATTGAAATTAAAATGGATTAACTGAATCTTGCAGAGATCTTCTACTGAGAATTGAACATCGAAGGGTCGTCTAGTTGAAAAAATACATCGATAAAAAAGTTCTGAACTCTACTTTTTGGATTTTTTTCGGAAGTCGTCTTGTTTTGAAATGAATTTATTCCATACATTTGCATCATACTGTACATATATTACTTCTGTTGATACACTAACTTTACATAACCCCAAAATTTATGTGAAAAATGCAAATAACCAAAATTTTGTGAAAACTTACCTCTTCATATCCCAAATACACTGGGATTTTCTTGATTAGGAATATTTTTGTTTTCACCTTATTTCAACTTAATATCGAAAAAGCATCCTGATTTTCAATGGAAAATTCTCGCGTCAAAATATCTGCTTTCTCAAAAAAGTCGGTGGGCTCTTTATTCATTGGAATCTCTACTGTCTGGTGATGTGACAAATATAATAATAATGATAATGATAGGCCCTCTGGAGCCCAAACGATGCAACTTTGTACTGAGGTAATTTTACTTAAATCGACTTATTTTGGTCTAGGGAATATGTGGTATGTTTTTGTAAAGACCTTTTACAGACACCCTGTATATCTTTTCGTTATCAGATGACGGTCTAAATTTGCAGCCAGCACTCGGACTATAAGAGAAAATCAGAAGGCTACGTCTGACCATCAGTCTGACCAACCAGTCGTTTGGGAATATCGGTGACGTTTAAAACCTGCCCGCAAAGTTATCTGGTTAAATTTTGATGGGACTCTAGTCAACCAATGACCATTCTGGTATTACCACTGTGGTCTGACGAATGACTTGACACAGCCTAGATACAATTATTCATTATTCGCGATCATTCCCAGATACGCACGATGTTCTTCGAACCTATACTGAGATAAATACAATTCATAAATCATATCGTATATAGTTGCATTGGATTGTAATACATGTTATGATATGTGCGTTTTTCATGTTATGAAATATGAAATATAGTGGATTTCAATGATCATTTGAAAAATGTACGGAGCTCTGAGGCGAAAACAGTTTGTGACAGTGAACAAGTGAAACTGGCCCATTACTCCGATCATGGGTTATTTTCGCTTGCCACGGCCGTGAAATTGCATCAGGAAAAACAATCTATAATCGATGCCAAACACCGTTCTGAAAAGATACAATAATAATTCTCATGTGATACTTTTTTGCATGAAGTCATAGAAGGTACGTATGGAATCTCAAATAATTTTTCCTATAAAGATAATGGTCACACTGATGCATACTCATTTTGACGTAATTTGAAATTTGAGCTGATATAGGGAATAAGAAAATACGGGTCATATATGGGTATTATTTTCTTCTAATCAGCAAATAGTTGTTTTCTCCGATTGGCAGCAAATATTAATTTTGCTGACACATATCAATCAATCAGCAAAGTATTACTTTTCCTGCCTAGGCAGCAAAGTGGATACTTTGCTGATTGATATGTATCAGCAAAATTAATAATCCATGAATCGTTTATAATTTTCTTCATATTTCATCCGAGACTTCTCCGGCAACAAATTCAATTCTATATTTTTTGCCACCTCCCTCATTTCTGGAGGTGTAAGTACTTCCAGGTCGCTATCACTGTCCATTATATAATAATTTAAATATACCGATATTTTTTCGCACAACTGTCAGAAATTTCATGAATTGTCAAACTTTAATTATTATGGACATTTCCATAGCAACCAACCATTCCAACAACTGCGATTTTTATCAAATTTTATTTTAATTGAACACTACAGGAAAAATAAAGAGATATATATCATTATGAACAATCGGAGAAAAAATTATATGTTCAACTCGGCAGCAAAGTAGATTGACTGACTGAATTCAGCCTCGGCAGTCAATCTACTACTTTGCTGCCTATTTAAACAAATAACTATTTCATTCAAACTTGCAAAGTAGGTTCAACCCAATATACGAAGAGTCCCAAGTTATCGTTCATCGTATTCGTCAGGACTTTACATAAATGGTATTTTTGTAGGATGAAACAATTGAAATATAAAACCTATAATATATAAATGATGGATAACATGAAGTTAAAAGTTCAAGAGGACGAAGGAATGTTGACAAAAGTCATTGTCATTGCCTCTTTAAGATCCATCAGTTTTTTTCTACACAGTGGAGGTACCAATCTAAGATTTCTTGAGTAAGATATTTAGCTGTATTTAGAATGAAGTAGTGATTGATTCACGATGAATCAGAGGGTGTCATTTCATGAAAAAAAGTTGAGAGAAGTTTTCGAAGCGTGGTGAAAGTGAATGAAGTTTGTTCAAGACCATCAGAAGGGTATTGGAATGCCAATGCTCACAAAGCTGTCAATTAACTTCCACTGGGAAAATAAAATATTACCTCCCGTGTGAGATAATATAAATTGCATGCTTTCTTGGCGTCCATATACCAATTAGATCCGTACAATCCGAGTGATCAGTATCTCCATCACTATTATAAAACGAATAACAAGTTCCTTTTTGAATTTTAATGATCTCATATACTTCATTCATATCCCAAACAACTACACATCGAACAACTTTATAATGACAGAAGTGTCAGATCGAATTTTCATGGCATACTGAACTTGCATATCTGATTTGGATCGAGATTTAGACCACCTGAAGCACAATTTTAAGAATTACGCTCTCAAATATTGTGCGTTTGTGCATAACACCATAATATACAGTGTGTACACGTCAAGAACTTAACCACTCCTGTAAAATCAGATGATCGATTCAGAGTCTTGTTTTTTTGTTGGTTAGTTATTTGAAACGTCCATCCGACAAGAAAGTGATTTTATTCTTGGAATGTTATCCTGGCCAACTACGACCAATTTTATTGAACCATCTATCAAAAAGTACGATCAGTATTTTTTCACTAAGAATAACAATGGATTCTGAATCAGGATCACTCAAAACATACCTGTACTGATTTTCATCATCATAAAACATAGGGTGTCCGAAAAAACGAATCATTATTTTTTTGAATACGTGATCAGAAAATGTAGTACTGCGGTATATTTGGAACTAATGACAAATTATCATTGAGAACTATAAGTAGGACATATTTTCTATCATGATAATTCTTTACTCTGAAACTAATGACGGATTTTCAATCAAGATCACCCGAAACATACCTGTACTGACTTTCATCATCATAAAACACAGAGTGACCAAAAATTTGATTGATTGAAATGATGAAAAAATGTGCCTACTTATCCTTTTATTTCTCAGACACATTGTTTATTTGATTCAAATCGGTACAGATGTATTTTTATAGTAGTCCCATAGATTAAAAACAATAAATAATAATAATTCGAATTTTCGGACACCCTATGTTTTATGATGATGAAAATTGATATAGGTATGTTTGAAGTGATCTTGATTCAGAATACATAATCATTTTCAGTGTAAAAAAATCTCTATCAGTACTTTTCGAAAAATAAGTCAATAAAGTTGATCACGATAACATTCCAAGAATTAAAATCACTCTCTTGTTGAATGGACATTTCAAATACCTATTCAACAAGAAAAAATTCTTCGAAATCGATCAGATAATAATGATTTCATAGTAGTAGCAAATTCTTAAAGTGAACACACATACTATGGAAGCAAAGATTCATACGCGGGAGTAAATGGATACCTTTGCTCCCTTGATGTATAAATAGCGTGATCACGATAACTTGAAGAACCTTGTATTCCGTCGAAAACAATGAAGCTTGGTCTCAATTTGCTTGCTGAAATTTTTCACCTCGGCCTCAATTTCTTTCTAAAAAAATCTGCTCTATAATTGGAAAGCACAAGCAGACACATCTAAAAACTCACACCAGTATTAGCTAAACCCACACTGAACCAGTTAAATTACAAAATCTAACCCTTGTTGTTGCCGGGTGCTCCCGAACCAAAGCCAGAGTCATTCGAGGACGTACTTGCTCCGATTTTCGTATTAACTGTATCCCCACCATCCTCCTCTTCACCAGAAGAAGAATCGGAAGAAGAAGTAGAACTCTCTTCTTCGCTAGAGCTGTCTTCTTCTTCGCTATCTTCGTCTTCTTCTGCGCTTTCCGGTTGGGGCGCGGGATGACCACGTGGTCTCGGATAGTGTCTACCGCGTATGATTTTCGGCCGAGCGAAAATTTCCACAGGGCACTCTTCGAACTGTTCGGGTTTTTTCCAGGGGTGCATCCATTGGGACAAGCGGTTGGACTGGAGGGGGACGAACACTTCTTTTTCATCTTTTGGTTCCGGTTCTGGTTCCGGCTCTGGTTCTGGTGGTTCAAAAACTTGTAGGTCTGGGTCGTCTTTGTTGGCTTTCTGCACCAGAGACCTCTTTGATGGTGCTTTCTTGTCAGTCGTATCAACGCCATCTAAGATATTGTCATTTTCGTCTGTCAAAGCTGTTTTGATATCTGTTATTTCTTCAGAGGTTGAAAGCTCAATTGAAGAAGTCACTTCCGACTGATTTGTTTTGTCAGATACAGTATCGTTTCTGGTTGAGGAAGATGAAGGTGAAGATTCCTTGCTTGTGCCTGAATCTGTGTTCTTGCTTGACAGGTCACTTGTCAAATCATCCTTTATGTCACTTGAAATGGATGCTTTCTCTGAAACACTTGTTTGAGAAGAACTTGCTGAATGATTTGTGGATCCTACTACGAGTTCGATTTTTGAACAAGGTGAATCATCTGACACGGTTTTCTGCAATCTCCTGTGAAGAGATGTTGGAGCCGAACGGTTTTCCTTGTCTAATAATGGTTCGATTTTGGCAGAATTCGTCTCTTCCTTTTGTACCATTGTCTCATTCGATAGATTGGGTGCAGAATTATTATCTTTTTTTGTCAATACTTTGTTAACCAATGGTGTGAATTTAGGAATTGGAGTAGATGAAAACTTTCTGTCAATTGGACCATTTATCTCAAACTCACCAACTCTTTTCATCTCGATATTATTTGGTGATTTAATTTCTTTTATCCCGTTTTCGGCTATTCTCTGGTTACGTTCTATCGCTATATCATCAGTCTTTTTGGACGAAACTATCTTCACTACTTTCTTACTTTCATTTGAAATTACTCCCATTTGTTGAATTGGTTTCTTCTTGAGAATACTAGTGATCACTGGCTCTTTAGCTTTTGGCAAAAGAACACTATTTTTTATTTCCACTAGTGGCAACTTCTCATATGATATTTGTGGGGTAGCTTCCACTACAACGTTGAATCTGAATTTCTTTTCTTTCTTCATTTTAGGAGATTCCTCCACCTCAACATCATTGACTACAGCTTTCAATGTAGTGGTTGGTTCTTCCAGTTCTTCCACAGTTGCAGTTATGACCGGTTTCTGTTTGAACTTGGTCTGCTGGATTTCTACCTGTGATATATCTCTGATAGCGTTTTCATAAATTGCATTCTTCAATGAATCAGTGTGTTCATCATCAACTGCACCTGATGGCATGCCATTGGATATTGTTCGCTTCATTTTACTCGCTTCTCGGGTTGATGGTGATTTCACTTCACTATTCGGTGCAGCTTGCTCTCCATCTAGATTATCATTTGAAGAAGGAAGCAGAAGCATGCTAGATTTTTTCTTTGTAATTTTTTTCTTACGTACATTATCACGAGAAGCATTAGAATCTTCAGCTACTGGACTAATAACGTTCTGTTGAGACAATATCACATTCAAAAGGTTCAAATCCTCTTCCGATAGCTCAGTTGAAGATCTTCGGATCTCTTCAATCAAATTTCGACTCGAGAGCCGTCTACTCTGCCTTCTCTGGATATCTACAGGTTGTCCAGGATTCAAGTCGTCACCGACTCTATCAGAGGTGATAGCTTCACAGATGTCATGAAAACTTGGAGATTTCTTTACTGATTTCCTACTACTGCTCACCTTCGGTGGCTCATTCAAAATGTTCTCCTTGCTCCTGCTACGTATCAAGAACTTCTCCTTGAGTATTTCTCCAGGAGTTTTCTTTCTTCTTTTCGCTTCCACCACAAGCTCTTCAGGCTGAAAGTTATCCCTCCAGCTCTTGATAGCTCCTATCTCGTTCTTCAACGTGTCCTTATGGACTGTTTGTAGTCTAACTGTGGGTCGGTCTCTTCGTATGGTGAGGTTGGGCTTGGCTTCTTTCTCTCCTAATGAATTTCGTGGACTCTCCCTCTTAGGGCTTGGAGCTTTCTCGAGGCTGATTTCCTTTGCTTCAGTTTTCGGTCGATCATACTTCTCGAACTTTCTGTATCTGTTCTTCGACACATCAATATCAGCAGTATTTATGACCTTGATGGGACGGATGCTGAAACTAGGCTTCGTGTGATACACTGACTTTGGAGAGTTGACCCTCCTCAGAGGCGAATTCAGTTCGCTGATCGTGGTGAGGTGTGGTTTGTACCCTCCCCTGAGATGCCTGGGAAGGGGTTTGGTATATGACGGGGAGAAATTCGAGGACAATAAGGAGGAATGGGTGGAATAAGGGCCAGCCAAGGAATACGAACTACTAGGAGTACTGTATGAGAAATCGGAATAGTAAGGCATGACCGAAGATTGTTTTTATCCAACCAATAAAAACACGCGTGATCGATAGATTTAGATTGCACTGTGGCCAAGGTCCTACCTGTTGATTATCAGTCACATGTCAGTCACTAGCAAACCTTCCGAACCCGACACAATGAATAACTTTATGTCACAAAAGCGGATGCCCCGAATGCTAAGAAATCAGACGCGCACTGAGTTCAACACGGTAGTTTTTTTTTTCAGTGATATTGGTAAATACCGGTGTCAATAAGCAGTTAAAGTTCAACTGGCTGAGTTTCAGTGGTGCTGCCAAACAATCCTATTTTTAATCGTGGCTGTTGTGACGTGAGCACCTCCTAATAGTTCCAACTGTTGAAACACCTGTAATGCTGCAACGTCTAGTCTACAGTGGGATGATTTTATCAGTGGTAGGGTGATTATTTATATCCAAACGGCATTTGATTGCGGGTTACTGACAATGGATGTCGGTTAAGAAAGACAGTGATTGCAAATAAAAATAGTTAGGAATACAAAATAATGGTTTTTTATTATACAAGGGAAAAAAGTTGTGGATTGTAGCTCGAGGTTGTATATGTCTCCCGTGTATAATACACTATCATTCCCTGTGACAAAAAAAAGAACAAATCAATATTGAGAATATATTACATTAGGTATATTAAAATTAGAAAATTAGACGTGGAATTTGGAGTTTGCAACAGGAATTATATCTGAGTTGCAGGCATATTTATCATCCTGAAGCAATCAAAACTGTGAGTCTAATTCTGTCATTTGATTTAAAAATATTGCGATCTAATGATGGTTGTTTAGTAATTCATATAACCACGAAGTGGAATGGGAGATGAAGGGCAGTTCTTTCTTGGAGATGGTGTTATTGGTTTATTTTTCGGAAATAGCACAACAACAGCCATCAACAGTGTATACCGGTTGACACAGGGAATCGGGCCACCTTCGTAACTTCTGCATTAGCGAACAGCTATTCAAAAAAATTGGGTATAATTCGACACTCGAGTTCAATAGTGTAACAACTCGAAAAATAACCATTATGAGTTGTATATGATATCTGGTTCATTATTTTGTTAGCCCTCACGTGCTATACTGTAACAGCTGAAAGTTTCAGTACTGACCAAGAGATGATGCTAGTGGCTCTAACTGAAGGAAACATCATTTCCATATAATTCCATACTGTGATAACTCGACACAAGAACCAGGACTTGTTACAGTTTCGAACTGTGAAATATTTTCAGTGATTCAGAATTTTTACATTGCATAACTCAAAATAGTCAATTTCAACACTCATTGTTTTTGTAGTGTGAGTTTTGTAGTTATTGAACTTACTCCTCTAATAATAATGATGATTGATGATCACAGAGCTATCAATTATATAATTCAGATCAATAGTGTTACAAGTCCGAATGATATAATTTTTCATCAAAAATATTTTTTCAAATTAGTCGATTATAGGAAGTGAATAGAAAACTACTCATGGCAGGGCTATCATTTAATATTCTTGAGACATAATCTACAAATTTTTATTCACATCATTATGACTTGAATTTTCAATTACGATTATCTCAAAACTACGATTTTTGAAATGAACTAGGGTTTCAATAGACAACTTTGTTTTTCAAATGGAATACCCTGTATATTTCTACATATTCAGGTTCAACAGATCGAAAAAAGTGCAATCTTCATCGTGGATAAATGAAATGTAGACAAGGCCATTCACAATGAGTCCCTACTAGAGAAACATATTTTTTTCTGAAAAATATTTTTTTTTGTCACTTATCGATTAATCGATTCAGTCACATCACAGTATGATCAACAATTTTTTTTTGTCAAATGGAACCCCTATGAGCTACCTACATGTATCTCTAGAACATTAGCTTTTCCTTTTTTTTAAATAGTCTTGTGTAGTAAAGTTTACATGTGATGAATTTGTGTACCTGGTGTTAATTGTATTATTTGTTATATTTAATTTTAATTAGTTTTAGCCTTTGACCTGTCCAATAGCTATGTTATTGAGCTCATTTAATGGATTAAATTTTCTATCTATCTATCTATCTATCTATCATACATTAATAGGGGAAAAAATGACATAACAAATTGTTAACATTCAAAAATCCAAAACTAGTTCATGAATTTTCTTGCGATTCGAATAATTTTTCAACTAAGCAAGCTGTGAAAAACAACATTGCCGGATCTTGTCAACTTATTGTGAAAATTGTTAACTTCCTCTGTTATGTGCGCCACATTATGAATATTCTTGACCACATCTCCTTTATCCACGAGGTTAAATAAAAAACAATTTCAATTTCATCTGTTTCGACCTGTTGAACATGAATATGTAAAAATATACAGGGTGTTTCGTATGAAAAAACAAAGTTGCTGTCATGTCCAGAAAAACCGGAAATCTGCCATATTGAGTTTTATTGAGATCAAATCCGAAACGGTATGCTTATATAACTGTTCCAAATTTCAGAAAAATCCGTTCAAGAATGCCAAAGTTATAGGGGTGGCCTGATACCCTGTGACACCCGGTATATTTATCCGGGAAAAAAGTACTCGATTTTTTCTCGTGGGTAAAAATTACTTGATTCAAGAAAACTGACATTTTATAACCTGTCAACAGAGATGAAATCTCGAAATTGAGTATTTATTTTCGATTATTATTGAATTTCCTTGAGGATATAACATTATACTGACTTTCTCAACGAAATGATGATAATTGAACTCATAAAATGATTTAATGGTTTCATTGTGAGTAATATACAAGAAACCTTTTTTTATACATAGTCTTACTTCATTCAATTAAGCTTAGAGAATTGAGCATTGAAGAAAAATCGTAATGAAGGAAAATGTACTTATCTCAATATAGAAAATGCCTGATAGATGATCTCAAACTCAGTCCCTTTAAGAAAGGCAGTTCACGAACCGTTTCCAAAATATACAGGGTAAACCAAAACGACCTGTATCGAAAAATGTTCATTTCTCGAAACCGGTTGACATATAATTCAAAAATAGTATGCCGATTCGAAATTGCTCAGTATATAATGTTTCTTGTGAACTGAATTCTAAATACTCGAGTGGCAGGTAATTACTTCGGAAAATGTTGATTATTTCAAAACTGCATATTTGTATCTCTTGAAAAACCCCCAGATCAATTCCCTGAACGCAAAAATATTTTATTTTTAGATTTGAACAATGCTGTATAATGTATCTAATATTAGTCAGATGTAACCACGTGTTACTACCGAAATTCCTTGGCTTTTTCACCTTTCTATACTTACGTACTATTGTGTGAAATACGTAGGTATATTTATACTAGAATGTTCACAGAGTTGGAATTCTCCATAATTCAGAAGATACTGTGTGTGCCAACAAAAACTTTTGGGCATAATCATTCTATTTGCTCATGTCCCAAAAATCCGTACACGGAGTTTCATCATAATACCATGTAATTATTCAATTCTGAAGGAAATGTGGAAAAGGTCATATTTCCAAATCAGACATAAACTGGAGTCGATACCAAATTTCATGACAAATTCAATGGTAGAAACCTCACATCGACATCTTCCAGGAAAAAACTATACAGGGTGCTTCCGATTTCATAGGAACAGTATTGCTGTTTCCTAGACGAAAAGAGATAGAAAGTTGATCAAATCAGACGAAAGTTGCTTGAATTAGACATTTTTTCAATATGCCGCTATGTAAACTGAAATAATGAAAATCACTGGTTTTGTGTCAATTTATTTTCTCAGTTAATATTTGATAAATAAATTTGAAATATTCCATGAACAGGTAATAATCAATCAAGATAATAAGATGAAAAATCAATCAGGAACCATTGTGTTCAAAAGGAGTCACACTTCAATTCCATTACATAATGAAGCTTCGATTAACCACTTCCTTTTGCCAAAAGTTAAGATAGGGACATGTAAGCCGTTTTGATCGATAATAAATAGTTTCGACACAAAAAATCCTAAAATTGAAAAAAATTTACATTTTGAACACGCTATATCTCTGTATTCATTCCTGCTAGACCCCAATTGTGATACATTGATGAAATCATCTCTACAGGAAGAATTTAAAAATGCAATAAAATACAGGGTGTTCCCTTTGAAATAACAAAGTTGCTAATTCTTTCTGATAGAAGTGGCAACACTGTATCGATGAAAATATTTTAGACGGGTAGAGAATGTTTAATTATCAGATCATCCCAATTTTCAGAATGTTCTGTCTTACCGTTTCCCAGATACTTCTGATAGGCCATCCACCGTGGTTCACCCTGTATATCATTTCGTTATCAGATGACGGTCAAAATTTGCAGCCGGCTTTTGGACTATCATTGTTGATAGAGTTTGGCTAATACGTATTATAAAATATAATAAGAACAGATGAATGACGAGCTATTTTAATATTGCATGCTTCTTTCTATGACGTGTGATGCAATCAAGCTGAGAAGGAATTGCATTATGAATGTAATTTCTCATTTGTTTATGCTCACTTGAGAATTATACATTCCGAAAATACCAGTCATGCTGAAACACTCGAAATTTTAATTGAATGTTGAAATTTCAATCAAGATTTTTACGAACTATTCATATTGAATAATTCGGTTATGAAGTCTAGGATAAATTGGATCCTCTCTTTTTCTAGTTTATATCCTCGAAATATTTCCTAGTTTTATGTCTACCGAAGATGAACATGACTCTACACATTTTCTGAAATAGTTACTTACTGAACTCTATTTTCATTGTCGTTTCTGAATATATTTTGTATTCAAGTTATTTAATTTACTTCCACGACGCGTCTGAACTGCCATCCTAAAAAAGTAGATTGTTTCATTAGGATCAAAAGTGACACTTTGTTTGACAAGCGAATTTTGCAGAATCTGCGAGTCAAACAAAGTCACTTTTCGATCGGAATGAAACATGGTATTTTCTCTGCAACCCAAAGAATCAACTCAAATAAATATGTGAAGTAACCACCAATGCCGTGCCATAATGTATGAAATGAAACAAATAATCCGTGTGGTGAGAATATTCTACCTGCATCAACAAATCAGGTTTATCAAATATTCAAGGATGTTAAAATAATAGTTTCAATATAAATACAAACACAGAGTGACCAGTTTGTGTATGGACCAGGTGTCAGCCCCAATAGCAAATACCGCGCCAGTGCCAGGTATAGGAAAAATACGTGGAAAAT